GCACTGTGGAAGTAGCCAGACCCTTCAGATATCATTATTCAAATGCTTTGCCTGTTTTTCCACTTGTCTCAGTATCTGCTGTCTAACCCCATTGGAAATGACCACGTGGGGGGGGCAGAACAGAGAATTAAGCAGCGTTTGCCTAACGATAAGCAACCGAGGCAGCTGCTGAGAGGGTGCTATCACCAGAGAAGCCACCAGTGAAAGGAGAGGATAACCAGCAGCCTTTGGCTATAGGAGCCGTGGTTAGCAGCCAGGGCAGGATGCAGGTGGCAAACAAAGCCTGTTGCTCCCCTGCTTCTCATGGTGAAGCCCAGCTCTCTTTCTCCTCAGACCTCCCCCAAATCCTGCTTTTATCCTGGGCGACACAGCATCAGGCAGCTTCTTAGACCGCATCCAGCGCTAGCCGGAGCAGGCGAGGGGCTGCTGTGGATGGCATAGGGAGGTGCAGGAGTTCCTGCCCGGTTCCCTCCTCTCGTGTCTCATCCGTGTGCCCAACAGGTGCCGTCAAGCAGCAAGGACGTAACGCATGAGATGTCTCTAACCCAGGCCCCTTTATTTTGGCACGTTAGGCTCACCTGCAACCATTGCTCCAGCAGGCCTGGCCCGGCACTGCTCCTGGCGCTCCATCGAGCCTGTTGAAGAGCGGCGCATTCATAACCTACCCATCTCACACACACACACACACACACAAAAAAAAAGCTTCCTTTTAAATGCTGAGGGAGAAGGAGGGCTACAAACCCTGGGAAATCAGCTCTGCCTAATATATTATGTAGAAGTTCTGTAATCATTATTGAACTAAAGTGCAATGAATAAGTGGATAAAAATCAGTCCCACTGTAGCAAAAGTCTCCAGAGAGCACCGATAAAAACGCCTCGTGCTTAAGTTAAAAAAAAAAAAAAAAAAAAAAAGTAACAAAATATTTCCAGTCCCGGCAACTGCATTTCTCCCCCAGTATAAATAGGGAAGCCTCAGGAGGAGCCGCCGCTGCGACGGCGGCTGGAGGGGAGGGCTGACACGGGGAGCGAGGCAGCGGGATGCATCGTGGGGTTTCCTAGGCCAGGGCTGCCGACCGCCATCCAGCCAGCCTTCAGGGCATCCCCTTGCTGGTGCGTGTTTGCCCAGCGGGTCCCATCAGCTCCCTGCAGCGAGGCTGGGTGCAGAGACCTGAGCGTCTTGTTGATCCCGTGGGTACCCTGCTTGGCCCTGTGTCTGCACAACCAGGCTGCTGGGTGGTGGGGGGCGATGTGACTGGGGCAGCATTGCCTCTTCTGCCCCATGGGGCAGGCTGCTGCCTCTTATTATTGCGCTCGCTAAGCAATCCAGTGAGAGGTGACAATAAATGGCAGGGGGGTTTTTGGACTATGACTTGCATCCCTGAATTTCCTGGGTAGCTCATGCTGGGGCAGACGCCTAGTTTCATCCTCCAGTAGCCCTCAAGTCACCCACCCCACCCCAGGGAGGCTGTCCACGTCTCTCGTGCAGCCGCCGTGTTCACCTGTACTTGCAGTGGGTGCTTGTATGCAGCGCCTACCCCCCCAGTAGAGGTATATTATCCTCCTTGGCCCTGCAGCGGGCATGCAGCTCCTCCATGGAGTCCAATGAGGAGTTCCTATGCATGGCTGGAGACAGAGGTCACCCCCCCCAAGCCTCAAGCCAGCCCCCTAGGAGATGCATAGCTCTACATGTGCCCCATTAGGGACTTTGAATTCAGGCTACAGCTTCTGTCTGCTCAGCCTCCAATTGCTTGATGATTTTGGCCTCATTGCAGGACTTCCAAGCTGGCTGGCTGGCACAAGTCTAGTCTATCAGCAGCAGCCTAATGGTTATAGCAGATGCTTGTGGGCCTTGATAACCTGGGTTCAAGGGCAGCCATAGCTTCTGGAAGCTGTAACATCCCCCAGCAGTACTGTGAATTGTGGAGAGGGCTGTGTTTAAGGTGTGTATGCATTTTACCCAAAGACCATTTAACACCGGGTGGATGACCGACCCCTGCAAGCCGCGCACCATCTTCCCTCTGCACCGTGGGCTTTTGCCCAGTGACGCTGCATCAGGGCACGCTTGAGGGTGTCACTGGCTTGCTGTGCATGCCGTGACCTGCAAACACATGGGTCACTGTGTCTTAGTGTGCCCACCCTGGCTAAGCTGGGGTGTGAGCAGTGACACGGGGGCTGTGATTTCCAGGGGTGGCAGATTTGCCAGCACTAGTTAGTGGGGCAGGGTGGGATAGCGACGGAGGGCTGCAGAGGGCTGAGCACTATAGACGAGGGGTTTGGCTTTCTGAAAGCATCATCGGGGACCTCGAGGTTTGCTGCAATCACCTCCCTCTGGCTTCCTTTCCCTTGCTCCTAGCACAGGCACAACCCTTCCTCTTAGGGACCCAGGGCTGTCTTCCCAGAGTCTGCTTCTGCCTGAAGACCTGTCATTTGTAGGCTTTTCAACCATTGCTCTCTGGCCATCTCTTCCAGCCCCTGCCAGGAGCATGTTTCAAGTAGATGGAGACATCTGTGCTCTGCTCCTGGGGCTGCTTGTGCAGTTTTTCCCCAAAGTCTCTTCAACACAAAACACACAGTGGCATCAAGGCCTCACTGTTGCCCCTGGCTGAGGCAGTATCCACCTCCGAGAGCTACAGCAAGGGTCTGCCACTGCCCTGGTCTCCTACCTCCAAGATTTTTTCCTCTCCTGGCTGCTCAGTAGCTTAGCTTCCACCAGCAGTCACTCTCAGCCTGACTTTGTCTGTGGCCTGGTAATTAAGTTGCTGCCCTATGATCAAAAAGGTTCAAATCCCTACTTCTTCCAAAGGGAAATCTAGTTGAGGATGATGTAGTTGGGGCTGGTCCTGCTTGGAGCAGGGGGCTGGACTAGATGTGACCTCCCGAGGTCCCTTCAACCCTCCTTTTCTATGGGTGCGTCTACATGTGACACTTTAATGCATGTTAGCTTAAGTTAATGTGCATTAAGGGTATGTGTCTACATGTGCATGCCCTTAATGTGCATTAAAATGGCAAATTTAGGTGTGAATAGTTAAAGTGCATTAACACTGTGTTGCAGGGGTGTAGGTTGTGTATGTGGGCTGACTTGGGACTAACTTTAGTCCCAAGTCAGCCTACACACATCATTAATACGCTTTAACACCTGCACGTGTAGATGCCTGCTATAACTCTAAATGATCCTCATGTCTCTCCTAACCTGAGTAGGTGCTTTAGCAACTCGGCCGGCAAGCAGTAGAGAGCCGCTAGTCATGGGGTTTGGTTGCCAGTAACTTTGGGGGTTTATATCTGTGCAGCCCCCAGCCCCAGGTCTGACTGATAGCAGAGCAAAACTGGACTTGAGGCCTCTAGCGCAGCACTGCTGAGCACGTGCACTAGGAACAAATTCAGCTCCATAGAGCAGAACTGCAGCTACGCAAGGCATTTAGCTGTGTCTGTGCCCTTCAGGCCATTACATGGGGTCAAATAGGGTGCCATTGGGTGACGGAGATGCCTAACAAGAGCACAGGTCTTAGCAGGGAAAGGGACATTGGCCTCCAGGCTACAGGGGATGAGAAAAATGCCCAGAAATGGGAGGTTTTGCAAAGCTCGGTAGGCATGTGCTGTGCAGTGTGGGGAGATACCTCCTTGCACTGATTTTTAAATAAAACAGGGAAAGTTTCAGGCAAAAAAAAGCTCCCTTTATTCACTTAGAAGCACTTGATACCATTGCTGGCGATGAAGGATGTCACTCATACAGATGACAAGAGCCAGCCCCGTCCTCACCTTGCAGACCCTGTTGCGAGATGTAAGCTGGCATGGGGAGCATCCCTAGCCCCCACAGCCATCCCCACCAGCCCAGCCTGGCCTCAGAGCTCATGCTTTTTTTCAGGCAATGCAAGTAACCCATTTTAAAGCTTGCTGATGGATCTTCTCCTAGCAGGGGGGCATCGTGCAGGGATGTGCCTATGGGGTCAATAGAGGGCTCGCTGGAGTCCCTGTTGTGCCTGTGAACTCATCCCACCCAGCTTCCTGAGACCTGGCCAGAAGTAACAGTTTGATGAAGATATTTACACTGGATCCAAGGGTAAGGAGGGGTCCCAGCTGTGTGGTTTTGGGGAAGGCTGTGCACCATGACGGCTGGCGGAAAAACCCAGCAGGCCAGATACACACGTGGCCTGCGTTTTCTGAGAGGCCGAGCACTGCTACATGTCACTGGTTGCAATGAGAGCTGCCAGGGCTCAGCACCGTGGAGAAACAAGCCATCCGAGCCAGCTTAGCCAGCAAAAAAACACCCCTCATCCATCTGGGGTCATGTTTTCCAAACATACAGACATCTACACGTTGTAGATACAACCAGTTGCAACTTCAGTGTTCTTTTAACCAAGATTTATTATCATTATCATTATTATTACTCTTCCTTTTCTTATCAGTAAAGGTTTGATCTGCTGTTGCATGCAGATCCTTGGGCAAACTTGACCCCACTCAGACGCGGGCAGTAGGGCATACCCGTTGCACGCAGGTAACACTTGTCTGGTTGGTGACAGAGGTTTAATGTGAAGAAAATCTGGCAGAATGGAAACTCCTTATGCAAGCCTGTATCTTCCTCATGGGGAAGATGGTTGGGCTTGTGGTTTTACCAGCGGGCTGCGACTCGGGACAGCGAGATTCACTTCTTGACTCTGTCAGTCTCCCTCTGTGATGGCAGACGAGTTACTTAAGGACTGGCCTCACTCTGAAACCAGTGGCAAAGACCCCATTCACTTCTCCATGTTGACCCTGCTGTCATTGTTGATCCCCTTGTACTTCAGCTAGAAGGGAGGCTAAACTTTTTATTTTTAATCCCACACTTTGCCAGTATTGCCTGTTTAGACTGCCAGCACTTTGGAGTTGAGATAGCTCCTGGCTTTGTTGCTATCGTATGGTAACGACAGCAATCTCGTTCTGGACGTCTCGGCATTATCGTGATACCGCGATGGATATAAAACCACGATACGTGGGGGGCAGATAAATAAATACACGACTAGGAGCTGTATTCACAGACAGGAAGTAACTTTAATTAAATATTGTGAAAGTTGAAAAGTTTTTACAGCTTGAATTTCTGCAAAAAAATTATAACAATCTCTACAGTAGTTAGTTTCTCTAACAATAGAACTGTACAGTGTGTGTGTCTATTCAAAAAGATTTAGATAAGAAGGTGAAAGGTTAGCAGTTTCAGAGATGACTTCATTTTAGCTGCATCCTAGTACAACTGTGAGGAAATAGGTCTAGTTTATGCACTCCAGTCATTGTGAAGCTTCACCTTTTAAAACTGAAATCTTGAACGTTTCCACTTAAAGCCATATTCTGTAAAGAGCGGCATCTTTTACTTTGTAAAAGATCGAGGGCCTTTTGCAGGGGGATTTTTTTTTTTTATAAATTCCCTTTTATCAGATCACTATAAATAGCTGCGACAAAACAAATTATACACATTGTCAAAGGATCTTTGGACTTTGAAGTAAAGGGCTACGAATGTGGATGGCTAACGTGGGTGTCTAAACAGCTACAACTTAGAATGGATCCTACCAGAGCAATCAAGGGCGTCACTGGACAAAATATGGCTTTAAATTTGATTACATTGCCGTGCGGTTGCTTACTATGTGAATTAGAATAACTGTTTGGAATACAGAGAAGCAATACACTGATGTCTCTCACATTTTTCCAGTTTTGTTTTGTTTTTCCCCTTTAATTTTCTCGCCACGAAAAAAGAAAAGTTGTTTTCTTCCCTTCCCCGAAAAAAGATCACACTGTGACATTCTAGTGAAAACCATTGCAAAATTCATACAGGAAGCATGCACAGTTGCAGCATCGTTGTAAATGATTTCTTGCTCGACTAGAAAAAAGTTATATTGTCTTAAGGTAACAAAACAGTTCTTTTGTGCTTTTCAAATCCTTTTTTTCTTAGAATGTTAGTGATGGCTGACAGTTCTGGTGCACAGTACAATGTACAAGTGAAATGAATATGATTTGCATTGTTAAGGCATCCAATCTGCTGGTTTATATTTATGTGAAAGACAGAGAAATATACAAGCAGACTTAAGAAAGAAAGTATTTTCATTGAGTTTTATGAAGTTTCTCCCCATATTTAATGCACAAAAATGCGTCACTCCAAAGAGGAGAGATCCCATGCATATTAAGAGTAAAACAGCATTAGTTTTTGTTAAGCCTCAAAAGCAAAGGATACATTTTTAAAATCTACATAACTAAATGCTACAAGAATAATATGCTACTTTTTGCCGTATATTGGAAAAAACTTCTTAACTTACAAATAATACAAAAATAGACAATGGCTTTTGGGTGGAAATAAAAAAATGGAAGCATGGTTTTAAAACAATACTAAAAAAAAACCCCAAAAAAACCTAGAAATGAAATGTTTTAAAATCACATTTAAACAGCTAATACAACGGTGAGCGACCAAACAAATCAGCACTTTTCACATAGCAAACATACACAATAAAATAAACTGGGGATGGGAAAAAAAGCAATGTACAAATTCCAAAGATAAATACATTATTTATATGGATATTTTACAAAATCCCCTTTAAAACAAAAAAACAAAACAAAACAAAACAAAAAAAGCTTTTTTTTTCTTTAATTAATTTTGCAAGTATGTGCAAGCTAAAGGTAGTGAGCTCTTTTTGCAAAATATGCAGTAAAATTCTTTTTTTTTTTTGTGATATTGAAAAACTGTCTTAAGACATTAAAATGTATAAATAGAACAACAACTTTGGCAAAAAATCACAAAAAATCTACATTATTTATAACTACATACAAAACACAACAGCAAAGAAAAAAATATCAGGTAATGCATCTTCAGAGCTTTGCTGCCTCGTTGACTAATATTTTTTAAGAACACTTCCCAGATAATGATAGCAAAATTCCTGTATTTATGGTTTTGACTTGAGACCTTCCTAAGAGCCCCCTCTGCCCCCCAAATTCATGTTCAATTCACTGACTGTTCAAAAGCAGTTACCTGTTGCTTAATAGATTATGTTACAAACTGAGCGGGTCGACTGATACGGCAAGGATCCTAGCGGGAGGCCGTCGAGGAGGCGCGAGCTTCTGGAGCCTTTATGGGAACGCGGGGTCGCAGGCGAGCTGACCCGCGTTTTGCCCCAGACAAACCACCGGGCTACAGCAAAAGGAAAACGAGTCCGAAAACGCCCAAATGCAAGGATGGCCCGAGTCCGTGTCTTCAGCTTGCTATGCAAAGATGAGGCGGGATCGGGATGCGCAGTTCAGGTTACGCTAAACTCAAAGGAGGCCGCTCATTTGGACAGATCCTGATATAAGCTAAATGGAGAGCATGCGTGTTTAATTCTGCAGCTTTAGCATTATATCCAGAGGCACTGGGTTTCAGGGTCTGAAGGGGATTGCTTTTGCTATTCACGTCCTTGGCTAGGCTTTCCCCAACGTTGCTTGTCACATTATTTACAATATGAAAGACAGAGATTACAATTTTTCCCCCTTGCCCCACCTGACCGGATACCTGGCGAACGGTATCTCAGAGTGAAAAATGTATCCCGTTAGCAAGCCGCCCCTGGATGAGCCACCGGTACGAGCCGACCCCTCGTTAAATAGCCATTACTCCTCTAAGAAAACTAACTGGCACTTCTATGCTGTCCCATACAGAGTTGTTGTAAATGTTACCACTTCGTTTCCCCTTTCCACAGCTTGAAAACAAAAAAAGTCATAAATTAAAAACCTGGAGTTTCATCTCTAGTGGCCCTTTGTAATGGTGTGATTTATAAAAGACAAATGGCTGTTGACTTAAATCAAGCTTGAAAAACAAAAAACAAAACCAAAAAGTGGATTTTTGTTTCCATCAACACAGAATAAATAGCTCTCCCAAGTACTTGGGATGGACAACTGGAATCAACACCTTGCAATTGCAGATTCTTTACTAATTTCAGGGTTTGCAAGGATGGTGATTTTTGTTTTGTTTTGTTTAAAAATCTGCAGTTATTGTAAGATTCCTCTTTCTTTTCTTTTTTTTTTTTTAAAAAGGCCTGAGTAAAAAGTTCCACTCGGGGACTTGTATCAGATTTCTCTCTGAAGCAGAATCCAACCTCTTCATTAATAAAATTCTTCAAGGCAATTCTTTCACATGGGAGGAACAATCATGCCAGATATAGCTGTGGTGAGGAAGGGAGAGGAAGAAAAAAAAACACAAAGGAAAAAAGTGACTTTTGTGCATCACGACACCAGTTCACCAAATAAACCCGCCCTTTTTACACATTTACGAGCCACCTTCTCATCTGAAGGGTGAGCTGAACAAGTATCATTCTGTACATGCAACAACACACACATTAAACACATGAGCCCTGATCCTGCTCTCACTTACACCGGTGGAAATCAGGATTAAATGCCAGATTTTCCAGTGTAAGCAACCCAGGAAAAGAGTGGGGCCCTTCCTTCCTTCTCAGCTCTTAGATGCAGAGTCTGAGTGCTGATGGCAAAGCTCAGGAAGCCGAAACTTCGGAAAATACCGGGAGATTTTGTATAAATTCTGCTTGGGTTTTTTGCTTTAGGAACAGATATTTGTTGTGTGGGCGGACGTCTGGCATCCCATAAACCAAGAGCGTTTATAAAAGCCGTTATCGTGTATTTCTTACATTTTGGACACTGATGCACTATATTCTCCTCTTAACCCAACTTCCTCCCACTGTATCAGCTGCGTGTTCAAGCCTGGGAGTCGTGCACGCGTTTCCTTGGGGCCTGGGAGCAACGTCAGCCCGCAGACCCAAGGAAGCCGCTCGTTCAATCTGCAATCCACCCTCCACCTCTGCGTGGGTATGCGCTGTGCATGGCTTCAGCCTGCGGTCTCCCCGTGTCTTCAGAGGCAAATGAAGAGCCGAGTGTTAGCCTCAACTTCGAATTTCCTCTTGCTTGTGGTTTGAAGTTGAATCAATAATGTTACTTTAATATTCTTTCTAGTCTAATTTCCAAAGTGTTTACAGGCCTTCTTAAAAGGGAAGGTGTTTTGAGAAGAGCTATAGCTACAGATACAAAATACCGACTCCTACACAGCTTCACTTCCAGCTTTGTCTGCTGTCGTTAACCAGAACCCACGCCTCGTCTGGCCGGCCGGACCGGGCACAGATGCGCCCAGCGGCTGAACGATACAGTACAATGATGCCTGGCACTGCAGGAGGTAGCCACTTAGCTGCATGGCAGAAGTTATAACAAGCCTGAATCTTTAAAATGTCAGTGGCATGGGTTATTTGCAACGGGATATAAAAGGCACACTAGACTTCAGGGTGGCTGCACTTCATGGGCACATGATTTAAACACCGGAGCTGCCTGCCATCTCAGACATCTGGGCAAGTGATTTCTTAAGGAAGAACTCAGCCCTGGGACTGCTTCTAATTCATTGTGCTTTAATTACAGCTGCAATCATTTGATAAGAACTGAGCCAAAGTGAAAGACTCACAGATTTGGGGCTGGGGGGGGAGAGGAGGGAAATGTTTTCTCCACAAACACCACCATATGTGCAAGAATTACAAGTCTAATCAGCAAGGGGAAAGCAGCTCGGGTAAACTGCATTGATTAAATGAAATAAAATGAGAGGAGAAGGCCAGAATGCAAAACGCATCCACGTGTTTGCAGGAGAGGGGACAACCCTACAGTAACACCCGATCGCTGCAACGGGCATCTTGGAGGTTATATTTGGGACCATTTGGAATGATGGGGTTTCCAAACATAAAACTGCAGACAGACCACGGTGTTGTCTCATTTATGATTTTTTGCACGTTGGGTGGTATGACAATAGCTTATTAGAGAAACGGGGACGGTGGGGAAGCTAGGCAAATGCTACGGCTCAGGTTGTTTCCTTGCTACGTGGAAGGGGAGGAGGCAGACATCTCAAATGAGAAAGTGCCACAGGAATAATGGCGGGCATTTATACCTGGGCCTATTCAAGAGCCCCAGTGGTAGAGCTTTGCTTTGCTTTTCTAGTGTTTTTTATACCATGTTCATCATCATATCTGAGCATTTTCCAACCGTGTATTAAGGAACATGACTGCCAGCGATCGCCCCCCCAGCCTTACCCCACCTCCCCAGAGAAGTCCCTTCAATGAAGGCGAAGACATGCTCAGGAAGGGGTGAAGCAAGGCCCCGTCAGCTACGGGGGCAACCAGATTATTGTCAAAATTGATGGGGATAATATATGACATCTAAGTGGATCTGGGGGAGGCCGGACCACTCGCAGCTGCTCCTGGTCTACTGGAGAGGAAAAGCTGACTATCCCCCCTTCCAAAGGCATCCCATTTGCAGGGACAATTTGGGCCTGAAGTCACACGTATTGGAAGATGCTAGGAAGTATTCTTAGCTTTCACCAGACAGGGCTACAAGGCAGGGGTGAGAGCAGCCGTGGGGTAGACTGGTACTCCTCTGCCTCTACAAGGGGCAAGATATGGAGGGGAAGGGAAGGGCAACTGGTGGAGTCGGGGTTTTGCCCCCCGTCCTGCAGCAGAGCGAGCGCAGCCGAGCTGGTGCAAGGTGGGTAGATGGTGTCAGGTGCGGGGCCGCCGCACGGCATCTCTTCCCCGGAGCAAACAAGGAGCCCAGGGGCAAACCCGCGACACCCCCGTGGGGCCGGGCAGGAAGCAGCTCTCCAGCCCCAAGAACAAGTTCTGGATTTTCCCATCCCAAATTGAGCTAAAAATGCAAAATTTAGGGGAAAAAAAAAAAATCACAAAACCAAAATCCCACCCCAAACCTCACCACTGGGTGTAATCAAAATGCTTCATTTGGATCCCGTCAAAATATTGCAGCTGGATTTTAATCTTCCTCTTTTTTATTTTTTAAAACTTTTTAATCTAAAGGTATCGACATTTTAAAACTTCAGACCCAGAAAAGAAAGCTAATTTGTTTTTCAATTTAGAAAGTACATAACCTCTTCTCCCTCCTTCCCCTCCAATCATTCCTCAAGTCTGGAGACGTGTCCGAACCGAGCGCGAATGCCCGAGGTCGGCCTTCTCCTGGGGCAGCGGGACAGGGTTTGGGCACATCTCCTTGCAAAGGACTGCGGTGGCTCTTTCTTTTTACTCTTCTTCATGGTAAGGATGACCACAGTCTGCAAGAGACTGCCCACGGAGGTGGTGCGGTCCCCAGCCCTGGAAGTCTTCAAGAGGAGACTGGACGGGCGCCTTGCTGGGATCGTTTGATCTCCGCGGTATCCTGCTCAGAGCAGGGGGTTGGACTCGAGGATCCCTCAAGGTCCCTTCCAGCCTATGATTCCTCTGAGTCCAGACTGAACCCTCCCGTCACCGAGGACCCCACCCTGCTTCCTTACGTTTTAACATTGCCTCTTGGATAAATGACAGAGAGGCACCCGGCGCCACTGGAAGCAAAATGGCGCGGAGGTACATCACGAGTAGGTTTTCAAGGAGCTGCTATTATTATTACCGTCGAACTCTGCTATTCTGAATTAAATTACAAGTCAAATGGCAAAATGACATCTCTTCTGCCTAAAAGCCTTAGTATTTCCATTGTGCCAAGTCCTCACTTAGATCCTGCTACTTTTGTTCCCTAAGTGCTCCGTCTATAGGGTCACGCACAGTCTCTGTGCCGCTGCGGCGTGCTATTGATTCTGAAAAGGGAGATATCAGAGGGAAATATTGTAGGCATGAGATCACAGCTCCTCCGAAAAGGGAAGCGCGGGGGGAGAGAGAGCAAGGAAAACCTTCCATCAGCGGGTATTATTTCTCTCATCACATGCTAATTTGTATTTGCTGCCAGCAAATTACACAAATAATGTATTTCAAGTTTTACAAAACTGCATGGCAAAGAGAACAACAGATAAGCATGGCTGTTGTTCTAGTGAGTTCTGCTGATATCTGAGCTACATAAGCAAAGCTTGATTGCTTTCTGATGTAACCAGAAGCCCAAGAGAGATAAGACAGCCTCCTTATACAGGATTGTTTATTTAAGCACTAAGACACAACAGGCAGCGCGTTTCGGAGCACTTATTGCATGCCTCGGGTAGTGTCAGAAGGTACGGGGCTAAAGGCTGCGTGTCGAACTCACCACGAAGTTCAGCGGTGCCCTACGAATGAACCGTCTCTTGGCGTCTCGCTCCCTATTATGAAACCGAATTGCTCAATAAAAATGAGGGGGAACGCTTAGATGGTGCATTTTCTGGGCATTACAAATCGGGGTGCGACATAACGAGCAGACAGGCCGCGACAGCGGCCAGCGCTCTAACGTCGCTCCGTAATTGCTTTCCATCGTACGGCATACAAACGCTGGAAGGCCACGGCTGGCGAAATGAAAAGCCTTCTCCCATCGCTGCCTCTCTTCCCCCGCCCCGCTCCAAGGGAAGGGAGGAGATGGAAGAGACACGAATATGCTGAAAAGCTCAAAGTAGGCAACTCAGCTCTCGGTATTATTCAGGAGACTAAATCATTCGAGCTGCACAGAAACACTGTTTAAAGCTGCCACGCTATGGCAAGGTTGGATATTTTAAAACGTACCGCACGTCCTGCACATCTAGGTCCAGCTGTTGTAAAAACCTCACCGTGCTTTGTGTCTGGCACCCGACCTGCATTTGAGGAGGCTTTTCAGGGACATCTCCTAGTCTTGAATTCCAGCCGGATTACAATTTATTGTAGTGGAAATCTTCATACCTCTCCTTTACTAGCCTGAAGTGCACTGAGCACAATCTGTAGTGGTAACACATTCTCGTTTTTATGAATGAACCTTTTCCACTCCACACGTGCAAGGAGCTCATTGAATGACTCGACCTCGGCTACGGCTGGGAGTCTGCCTTCCTTCTCCGGTGGACGATGGACCACGCAGATTTTTTGGAGCGTTACATGCACGTTTGGAAGAGCAACTTCCTACCAATGAAAGGGCCCGGAGCTCCTTATACAACTTGCATAGGCACATGGGAAGGAAAACAGACCTCAAACACAACGCGCATCACAAAACCTTTCCACCTCCAGCACAATTCGAGGCAGCTGGCTGCATCTGCTCCTGGAAATCCCCCAAATTAAGTGAGCCTGAAAATGTATGTCTCTCTCAGGGCACGGCAGTGCGGGAATTATAAAGGAGGGTTTTTAGGGTGTAAAACAGGCTGAACCGAACAACGAAGCAGACACTTGTGTTCTTTGCGGAGTCCCAGCTCTGACTGGTTTAATCTCTTGTTCACCAGCTTGCATTAGCTCTCGAAGACGTACTTCAGTAAAACAACAGGAATATTTTTGAACCAGAGGGGAAGGGACACTGGAAAGAAGCAGCTCCCTTATTAAGAACAGCTGAAGAGGCTTTCAGAGGGACACTCCACCACTTTGGAGATTAATTGGCTTACGGACAGTACATTAATCACGCCTAGCTAATGTTTGCCCCAGTACAAACTAAGTTGGGAAATGCTCTTATTAGTTTGGAGTATGCCTGATGTATTTACTCGAGGCAAAAGGCTCGAGCCAAGCTTTGCAACTGTCTCTTTGCCATGACGCACTAGAGCTCTTGGTCGGTTTTCTGCACAACTGTACTATGACAAAGGAAAAACAAAACCAAAAAAAAGAAAGAAAAGGAAGGGAAGATTGAGTGACGTACTTCAGGAGAAGGCCAGCCCCTGGAGAGACCCTGCATTGGAGTACTTGCTAGAGTCCACAAAAGACTGGTCTGATAATGGACGACCACAGGGAATAAGAGAGGAAAGAAAGAAAAAGGATGGTATTAGTAAGCTGAAATATTACTTTGTTTTTTGTTTTTTTTTATCAAAACACTACATCTGCGGTCTAAGAGCCACAGCATCTCAATGCAGCAGTATTAGTATCGTTAGAAAGAGAGAGAGAGAGAGTGTGTGTGTGTGTGGGGCCGGACATCTGCAAGGCATGGAGGGAATGGGCCGAATCCAGGCACTTTACAGGAGGGAAGGAGAGGACAGAGATGGCCGGCCAGCCCCATCCCCCTGGACAACAGCTCACGGCACCAAGAGCAGCCATCTCCACGGCCGTGGAGGTTTGGACCTACCTTGCAGGCTATTCCCATTGGTGCTGGTGCAGGTGGGAGGAGGGGAAGTTTGTGGTCTCACGACAGGGGCGAAAGCGCTCTTCTGTTTCACCGCTGAGACCATGTTGGCTGGTGAGAAGGAGAAGATCCCAGAGGAACTGCTACAGTTGGAGGGGAGGCTAGTGGAGGAAGCCATGGTTGGACTGGACGGCACAACTAGAGGTGGAAAGACCAAGAGCAGACAGTTCTTACTACGAGGTTGCAAGCAGGCACTAGAAATACAACACTCCTGGGTCTGGGGTGAATCAGGCCTGCGTTCAAAAGGCTGCCGAACGGGAACATCTCCCCTTGATTTCAAAGAGTCAGGAGAAATCAGGTCCACGGTGTGCAGCCATCACCAGTGGGAAACTCCTTCACCCTTCTGACGCGTAATTGCTCACGACTCACGGTTCTTGGTGCTGTTATAGACTCACCCCCCCCCCCTTTTTTTTTTTTGCCAGCACCTTCTTGCACTTTAAAATACTCGTTTAAATGACCTTAATGATTGGCACCAGCGGCTGCTCATGTTGGCACCTGGAAAATCTCAGCTGAGGTTGGGAAGGGGGAGAGCAAAGGCGTCGGCGCAGGATCGGTCGCAGGTCACCGCACTGAAGGGCGAGTGCAGTGTTTAAAGAGCAAACCTGGCTCTGGAGCACAATTTGGAAGAGCCTGGGCAGCGGTGCCAGCCCTCCTGGCAACGCTTGTGCACGGGGAACGGGCCTGCACTGTTTTGCACACGCATGCAGAAGGTCAAGGCTCGCGACTCTGCACCCAGACGACTTATTAGTCCGGATCCAGCTGCACGGCACAAGCGAGCGGGGTTTCTCTTTTCTTAACCTTTCACTCCCCTTGCGGAGATTGGGGCTGAACGAGAGCTAGCACGAGAGAGGAGAGGAACTTCACAGGAAGGAGTCCCTCGGCTTTCATGCTGGTCCCTGGCTCAGGAGGGGCGGGCACGGGTCCTCTGAAGTTGCAAAAGTGACTTTCAGGGGACTGTGAAAAACAGCCCAGCTGTGAGCAGCCAGAAGTCGTGATCCCGCGGCAGCATGGGTTGTTGGACATGCTCTCTTCTCCTCATGCCTGGAAATCCTACCTCCCAGACACCTCCTGTCCACTCCCAGTGAGCAAACTCACCCTCTCCTATTCCCTCTTTTTCTTAAACCTGAAATCAGGGTAGTTTCTAGCATCAAAGTGTCTCTCAGCTTTGGAAAGGCTCCTTCCACGAGGACCTCCACGGTGTCCCCGAGTTGTGTCATTCCTATTCCTTCTCTGCCCTGGTGCGTGGCAGCAGCAAGGTGAGAGGGCAGAGTGTACCGGGGAAGGGAGCGGGGATCATACTGGCAAATATACTTTGCCTAATACTTAAAATATTTAAGACAGAAACCTGGGTTTATGCTGATCAAGTAAAGCAACCCCCCAGAAGGACCTGGTGGGAGCACGGTCTGGACCGGCCGATTTCTACGTTGCCCTTCAAAGCCACGGGCCGCATCCTTCACTGATACACATGACGGCAGCTTCACTGCTTCCAAGGGAGCTATCCTGATTTACATCGAGAGAAGACCTGGCGACGCACCTGGCAGTCCAGTAGGAAAGGCACCGGTTTCTTCAGTCTTTGTAAAGTTTTAGACACTGTTGTTTTTTAAACGAGGGCCACCATTTTACTTCTCTCGGATCAATTTTATATGCTAAGATTGGCTAATTAACACTGACTGTTCCAACTGCAAAGCTGCCACACAGGAGGTTTGATTTTTGAATGCACGTATGCTTGAAATCCTGCTGTTTCCTATACAATGCAATTAAGGTCTTTACTTCATGCATTTATCAAGCAGGTTTGGAGCAAGTTTGTTTCCCTAAAAACACAGCCAGAGCGCTGCGTAGCACTGCCTCGCTGCTCCCCGCCCGGCTCCGGAGAGCAGAAGGACCCACCAGCGTTAGGAGACTCTCATTTTATTTCTGATTTTGTTTAGAAACTGTTTACGTATGTGAGCGGCTTATGAATAATTAAATACCACAGGAAGAAATTTCTAATCAGCTGAGCTTTGGCTTATTATTTTATTTGCATTCATGCTGATAAAAATCCTCCCATTTGAGTCCATGGGCAAGAATCTGATATCATATTTGCTAACGCGGAGGAAATCAATTAATGAAAACGAAACGTTCAAAGTTTCACAGTCTGAGAGATAAAATCTTAGTCTGAAGTCACTCGGCGTCGGCAAGGACTTGTTAAGGGAGAGCAATCAAAGCACCTAAATTGAATTGCTACTATACAGCAATTAGTTTATTGATTTAATTAAGAATGCCACCTTTTAATTTTCAGGTCATGATTGAAACATTTTCTGATTGAATGGATTAGGTATTAGCAGAATGACAGATCTACCAAGAAAGCCTCCCCAAATAGAAATAGCAACGGCTGAGAAGCAGACTGTTATTCTAAAGATGTTTTCGTTCATAAATATGAAATAACACATTGCTGGAGTGCTCTAAATGCATTGCAGGCATCTGCTTCCAAAAAGAGACGTCTCATCAATCATGTTAGATTATGAATTCAGAGAGCAGGGATTCTGTGATAGTAAACTCGGCTTAATAAGTAAGATCGTTTGTAACATTAACGATTACTCTGTTATTAAGGTAGAAAGTAATGACAGGCTGGAGATTCCCAAGTTAGAAAATACCGTGTGTGTGGGTGCAGCATTTCCCCTAAATACTGGCGAGCTAGCAGCTATGGGGCATGATTTGCAAATGAAATCATTAATGGTCTCATTTCATTTCTGCAGTTCAACAGAATTAACTGCTTTTATGAAGTCACGGTAGCTGTAGAAAGGCATGCCTTGATATAGCTCACATTTCATATATCCAGTACATATTAGGATCTGTTCCCAGCAAAACTCATGGGCCTGCTTCTTCCATTAGTTTTTGCACTGGCATTAAAATTGCTGGAACTACTCTTGGGAGACGCCACTGGTCAATATGAGTAGGAAAGGTCGAAGGTCCCAGGAAGATCCCAGTAGTTTCAGCTCCTCGCAAAAATAAGGATTATTCAGATCGGTACATTTTCAGGCTCCGGCCCATTGTCCCCGAGTTTGCAAGCATTTACATACATGCTTAAGCGTACACAGGTTAGCAGTCCTTTTCAATCCATGGAGTACATGAAGTTAATCCTGCACATACATGTTTGCTGGATGGGGACCCTAGACTGCAACCTCTTCAGGACAGCTAAATCTGCTTTCCCTTGCTTTGTCTCTTTGTGGCTCTCTATAAATGCTAAATAAAAGCAAGCCAAATGCTGAGACTCTTGTTTAAATTCTTCACAGTCCAAACTCCCAACAAAGCAAGATAGGACTGAGAAATGAAACAGTACTGAGACCTCAAGATTTAGCCCCGTAACAATTCCTAATTGCTTCAAGCGAAATTACCATATTATTTGCTCCGATCCCTCAAAACCATCCTAAGGGCGTGCTTGTGAGAACATCAGCTCTCACCAAAATTGCAGCAACTTCTTTTCCTTATCTTGATACCTGATGGTTGTGCTTCATTTCAAAACGTCTCCCCCCAGTAACAAGAGATGGTCGCAAGCTTTGACAAAACCCAAGATGAAGTACTTTACGTGACCCTCGCTGTGCAGAATTGGCAGTGCGTAGGACCCTGCATCTGATTTACACCATGCAAGAAAAGTTATGAAACGATCAACCCCAATCAAGGGCAAGATTATCCTTTTTCAGCTCTGCATGACTGTCTCCAAGAAATAATTGTGGCATAGAGCTGATGTCTAAGCACTTATGTCTTTAAAGTGCTCCAAAGGTCAGTGCCTTAGGGACGAGAGAAAAGTCCAGGCTCAGATTCAGGTGCTCAAAATAGAAGTTAAATATCGAGTGGCACAGAAAAGTCTCCGCATCATTCTAATGGAAATGTGCAAAATGCCCAAGCGCTATGTAATACTCACTGGCGTAGGGAGAGTTGGCAGCAGACCCATTCAGGAAGGTTGGAGAACCGCCTAAATTTGACATTCCGGCATTCCCGTAGCCATTCATGCTCGTGGTGACCGAGTTGTAGTTTGTCTGCTGAGGGGTGGTGCTTGGCACGTACCCGTGCGGTGACACGCTGCTCGAGTTGCGAGTAAAACCTTTGGGGAGGAAGGAATACATTTAAAGATTGGGCGTAACACAAGAAGCGACTCTGAATGAGCAGCAAACAAAAGCCTGGCCTCCTCGCCTAGGACAACTGGTAGAAGCAACAACAGCACTCGCTCTTGAGGGCCCAGCAGTGGGAAATTGGAGATGGACTCATCAGCGTGCACGTTTGTCCTACATTTTCAAAGTGACTAGAGCTTTTGGCTGCTCCAGTGGAGACATATTAATACAGTGTATAGTAATATAGTGTATCAGTCTAGTGACGTAGTAAAAGAAAACAATTTTAAGATGAAATTATACACTATATTAATATGTCTCGAGAAGTACCAAGTAGTCACTTTGGGGGTGAGGGTTGTAGCCATCTTGGTCTAAGGACATAGGCAGACCAGGTGCTTTGGGTAAACGTGATCTCTTTTATTAGACCCACTAAATGGTTGGAAAAATTATTCTTTACAAGCTTCTGGGCACAAACACCTCAGGCACAGAGCGAGTCTGCTGGTGTTTGTGTGTGCACATTACCTGGGGCTGCACATTTCTCACGAGACAACCACTCTCTCTCCAATCTCTCAGTTGTAATCCTCAAAGGGAATTTACAAAACACCTTTCATAGACGAGCCTACGAACTTCACTGCATAAATCCAGTGGGTGCAAATTATCATGGAATAAAGATAGACATTGGATTTACAGCACATTATAACTTGCCTGCCATCTGATAACCCCAGGTAACCTCTCTACATTTTACCACCTACATTTTATCACCAGTCAACATCCCCCTTCTTTTGTGGGTTTTTTCCTATCCCACATCCTAGCTGCCTGTCTGACACCCATTAACTCCCATCCCCTCTGATATTCCCTGCCATGCATTTTTCACAGACCTGCGTTTTGCATACTGGCTTAAGCATCTCTTCCACCCCAAAAAAGCACACAAACACCAGCAGACTCTCCCTAAGCCTGAAGAAGGGTGTTTGTGCAAAAAGCTTGCAAAGAACAATTTTTCCAACCATTTAATGGGTCTCATAAAATGTATCACATTTAACCCAAGACCCTTGTCTGTCTAGTCATTTTGGAAAATCTGTGTATGTGCTAATATACAAGTGAGTTCCCCAAAGCTCCAGGATGTCTGAATTTCAATGTCTAGACCCAAATTCTGAATTCCTAGACAATTCTGAGAGATGGGAATAGGGAATCTGAGTCAAAAGGCATTTGCACTTCTAAGAGATAAAATCCCAATTTTCCTGCCTGTATGTGCTCCGTTGGTGGATTGCATGTTATGGTCTAAAATTATACCTATCTTGTGGTATGATATAAATTGTTTTTTCTGCCTTTTACCCCTAAACTGTGCTCGACACTGCTAGAACTTATCAGGAGGGGGTGGGAAACATGATTTTATTTTATTTGCAACAATCTTCTTCTTAATTTTTGAATGTAAAAGGTTGTCCCAATTTTAATTTCATTATACAGCTACTTGATGGGACATGACCTCAAAATCCCTTTGGGAGAGTTTCTTACATTCTGTTTCTTGCTTTCAAAATCCAGGCAAAATTTTGAAATATTTCAACTAGCTTCCATGTGGCACTTCTGACCAAGTTAAACTGTCAACTGGATACAAAGAGCTACTCCTTTATTGTGAGACAATACCTTCCTGGGTTTGGGAAATCATCTGTGTTCAGGAAAGCCTGAAATCATGTGCTTAATTGTAAGCATCTGCTCAGGACTACTGACATTAATAAAACTGAAGCACAAGTTTATGCTGTTCTGAATAGGGCTAGACCTCAGAGGACATGAAAGGAGGAAGGTGTTTCTTCTGCTGACCCTGACTGGTGGCCTGCGAGGCTTCGGAGACGTTGACGGCTAGCTGACCACTGAAGGAATTCACTCCCATCATCCCTGCATGGACGGACGTGTTAGCAAGTGCTGGGAGCTGGTTGTGATTGCGGGGAACACTGTACAGTGCTTCTGCAATATCTGCTGCTCTTTTCAGGATTATTTCCTAGACAGGGAAAGGGAAGAAAAATAAATCAAAAGGATTGTCAAGCGACTTCCAACAGACACAAGAAAGCTATTTAACCAAACACGCGTTAGGTGTGACAGAGGATGGGTTGTTTCTAAGTGAGCGGGTTGAGTTCAGCCAGCTCGTTAACAATGGGAAGTTGGTACCACATTACGATAAATGCTCGTGTTTGTGGGAAAAGGCTGGACGTTTCAATCCCAGCCTGCTTTCCCGTGGAGAAAAGCCCAAACCACAAAGAAACCTCAGCATCCTCAGTACTACATGCTACATAGCAGTGGGGCCTGACCCACCCCCTGTTGCTCCCCCACCCCCATGCCGGTGACACTGGACAAGAGCCCCCACGGGTGACAAACAGCTGATTTCTGCACATCCTCCCTCTTTCCCAGTACAGTTATGCATCCCCTTCCCCACATGAGTTGTCGGCATATCCCAGAATGAAGCTTATTCAGGTTTGAGAGGGTTGATATAAATGCAATTACCTGGTTATTATGTGGCATACCATAGAGAGCTTCTACCAAATCAGCCGCTCTCTTCAATATTACTTCCTGTCAACAGAAAAAACAGAGGTGCTGCTCAGAGTTTGATCAAGGCCATGCAAAAAAAGCAGTTCACTGTAATCGTTGCATTGCTCCAGAGGCTGCTCTAGGTTCCTCTCCGCTCCCCCGCCAAACAGGTAACCCTTAGCGAAACAACGCTCCGCAAACACCGAGCAATGTTAAATCGCTGGTTCATCCTATTCGCACACATGCTTAATCAAGTCAAAAGGTGAGAGTTATTGTTGCTGCAAAATAAAATACATCGCTCAATTGTCTCTGCCATCTGCACTATAAACCACTCATAGGTTTATTGCAGAATACAATCCTGAGGTCATTTACTAGATTACAGCAATCAATGTCATTCAGAGCCGGTTATGAATCCCTTAGATGTGTTTATTTTGTTCTTAATTGCATATCACAGGAATGGTGACCTTCTCAGGCAGGCCACATTCAAGGGATATCTAATCAGTCCTGTGCTACCGGTAATGTAGCGTTCAAGTTGTGCGGTTTGCATTGGGGTGTGATGGGTCAGAGCTAAAACCGTGCATGTGCGAGCGATGCAGGAGAGGAGGTTAAAAAAACAAGCACATTTAGACCACCGCAACATAAAGGCACAGACCTGTAGTGTGGAAGGACGCCTCGAAGAGTCCCCTGCATGGGAGCAGGGTATAGGAGAGGTGGGGCATTGGCTCTGCATTTTGGGCACCTCTCTACCTCTCATTACCTTGCTTGTCCCTTTTCCCGTCACCGTATTTGTGCACCCAGGTTGTGACCTCTGTGCCCAGTTGCACTAAGAAGTCTCCTTTCCTCCTTTCTCAAGCTCTGTTACTCCCTCTAGTATCTCCCTCTGACATCTGGGTAATGCTATTCCTCTTTGGTCTGTATTTCTGAACATGAAGGAATCCACTCTAGCAACTGAGACAGGACACTGGAAAAAAGAGCTGCAAAATTAAGCGCAAATGCAGTTTCCCTTCTTACCCTTTCAGGGCACCCAGCAGATATCTATTGGCCTGGAAAAAAACCCGCTGCATAATTTCTTTAAAATAAAACAGTATATTTCTCCCTACCGGCAGCTGAGTGTTTTTTCCTACTATAGATATATGCTGCCTAAGTACATATTTCTGTAAGTAGTTTACAAAAATAAATGTAGCACCAATTCTGAGGTTTTTATACTTTTGTATAAAGTTAAAAAAGTTTAACTTAAAATATTTTACACAATAGCGATATTTTATACCAAAAAGAAGCAGTAATGCTCAATTTTCATATACTGTAGACTCTGATCAGAAAATAGAGATATAATTGCATTCATTTTGCTGTCACCATAACCTCTTCAAAAATCCTCGAACAACTCTTCACATGACAAGCTTTTAGATGCATATTAGCATTTTTTTCAATTTTAAATTCTCCATAATATACGATAAAATAGTTGTCATACTGCAGTAACTACTTATGACATATATAATGTCCTAAATTCAAAAATGAGATGGAGGATTTTTGTACTCCCAGTAAACATTTAGGCTTGCCTTAAGCTGCTCTCCACCCCTCTTTCAGAACACACATTTCAATTATTTTCCACACATGAAGCAAGGTGCATTATATAATTGATGGATCTGGAATCAATACATTAAAAATGGAAGTTAGGCAGGTACAGCATTTTCCTTTCTGTGTTTTTTTTTTGACCACAGCAGTTAATAATTTAATAGCAGATGAACCAACGATACACTGTTCCTATGCAGAATCAGGCTGTGCTGCTTTGAAAGAGCCATTTAAAAACTGCCCACTCCCAGCCCAGCCCTTTTTGCCTCCTATTAAAAATTCAAACAGAAGAAAAGGGGAAAAGATCATCTTGGCAAATTGTGTCTTTTCTAGCCTGCGCTAGGTGCATTTCTAAATCAAACATTATTGTGCAGGTGTTTGACTTTGCAAACATGGATTCATTTCATTTAAGGAAAAGTAGTCATTCGGCATATCTGACTAATTCAAAAAGCAGGGACTGGTAGAGCTTCCATACATTGTTTGTCTAATACTGTTAGTCTAAAGTGCCACAACCCCAAAGTATTAACATTATTCCATCTCCCCTCACCCCACAAATCTTAATTAGCTATGCAATGCTGACCTAAAATCACACTGAAGTGAGTCTGGAAGGAGGCTGAAGAAAAAGCTCAGGGGGAAAAAAAGCCCATAAAGCTGCTACAAACAATCTGAAAACATATTCCTATTTTTAAGGAATTGTGGACTATTGGATACCTTATCATACTGCATGCAAATAAAATTAATTTGCCATTGTGGACTAGATTGAAAAGTCCCATTAAACATTTCCAGCTAGTCACCGGTTATATTTTTTAACATTTCCAGAGCCTGTAAACTGGAGTTTTGTGCTTTCTTAAACAACATGTTCCCACAATAAAAGCCTTTCCTTGTTTATGACATTTTCAGATCACACAGGGTGCGCATTACACAAAAACTCTTTTTTCAGGTACTGTTATCTTTTCTTCCAGAGCTGGCGGTAGCTTTTATGGCAACGCACCAGCCTTAAAAATGCACAATAAAATGCTGCGATGTCTACTTCTAAATACATTAACTTTTTAATGCAATTTAAACTTTTGCAGCTTCACTTAAATTACTGCGGGAGCGGTAGTTATTTCTCCAACGACAGAGGAGCCCCCAAAGTCCTCTATAAGTTAGAGCAGCAGACCTTGCAAGGTGCTTGGATTGCGCTGACCAGAAAATTGTTCTCACCTCCATGTCATTACGCTCCCAGTGAACCAGCCCCCGAGCATGTTTGTGTTCGGGATCTAATATATTGCCTTTCAATCAGAGCTGAGAGCCACTGAACACATAGACAGAACATGACGAGCAGGTCAGGAAAGCAATAAAGATTTTACAGAGCTGTCCAAGGTGCTAAATTTACTCAATAATGGGTTTGGCACCATAGTGTTAACCTCTCATTTACTACCAGTTTGAGGGACTAAATTGAAGTAGCTGACTTCATTTACCTTGAAATGTATATTTTATGACATTATGTAAGTAGATTGAAAGGGCACTGCAGTTTTAACAATTTAAAGGCTAAAGCATGTTTAAGATGAAGCTTGAATATTTATTGTATATTGCACTTAAAGTATATAGTATATTAAAATGCATTGATTAAATTTGTAAAAGGTATTATAAAAAAGGACAGCTAATATAAAAGATCTATGTCTTCTAAAATCCAATTGATACTGTATGGTACTATCACGGTGGTGACAGACAGACGGCCGGACGCTGAAAGGCGAGCGAGATTGGCAGGCTATAAAAAGAAATGCCAGGAGCTGCTGTCCCATATACTTTTTTGTTCCCTGAAATTTCTTCTTTGCTTCCATTTTAGGAATGTAGATTATCACAGCACAAAGTGGCCGTCATATAAAGGCTCTTCCATTTGAATACGCAAGCCCAAATAGTTCTGGAGAGTTTGACTAAACCTAATATCTAATTTATGAGGCATTTGTCAGAAAAGATTCACTCTTTTATTATGTCGAAAATCTCCCTGCTCTGGGTGCAGAGTAAAAGAATATGCAGCAATTAGCCTGTGCTAATACAAGGATCTCCTTGCCTTGGATTTTCTTTGGGGGCAAAAAGAGCACAATTTTCATTTAAGAAAAATAATAAATAACTGAATGTTAAAAACTAACGAAGGCAGAGTTGATATTTAAATTCATTATGGGAGACCACTGCATGCAGCTCTGTTATCCAACCCCTTTCACACCCAAATTGCAGTCTGATTTCTGTTGCGGGACTATGTAAATGCATTTTCCCCTTAATTCGTGAAACAAAAATGCTCTTCGGTACTTTTGGCAGAACCGAAGGCATTTTCAGCTGTTTTTCTTCTTTAAAATATTAGTGGGTGTTTTCAAATGTGAACAGCAGCAGTGGGTGAAGCCTGGAAACAACGTCTGTCGTGATGCTGCATGTCCAATGGAACTGAAGGACGGAAATGATTATTGTACCAGAAGGTCTCTGCTCTGGGAGCCCTGAGAATTAGATTCAAACTAAATCCACTTCTGGCAGAATTCATCTAGAGTGAATACTACAGCAATTGTCCAACTTCATTTTCTCCATTTGTGATGTAACTCTCCACTAGGTATACATCAAGACCAGAAAACTTACTTGAAACTGAATTATAATCTCATATTTAAAAGCTGAGTGCTTTGTCTGCTGCACCACTTGTCTGCCGAATGAAAAATGTTTTCCATGGATGGTTCACTGGGATTGCATTTCATCACGATGGCTATATTGTGTGCCACTTTTAAAGACAACAGGCTTCCCGTTCTTGTTGATTTTTGCTCCTGTATAACGTTGCGAGTAGTAAAAGAATATGGCACGTCATCCAACGTGGACCGTGGGCTTAATTGATCTCTGAATACTTAGGGTATTTTTAGGTTTCTAAAAAAAAATGCTGGATCTAAATAAATCATGAAACATTCGAGGGATTTGTGGAAACTAAATGAATTTTGTCAAGAAGGAGCTGTCCACTGTACACGGTGCGCATCAACCACACGCTGTATTCCCGAGTCCACCAAAGGATTTATGTTCTGGCAAAAAAAGCTGTTCTAGCAAACTGCAAAGCATTTATCTTATGTGTTGTCTCGATATCATATCACCTTCTAATGCTCTTTAGCATTGTAATACAAGAGAGAGCTCATTCATCTTCTGAGAGAGTGCTTAGGGGTGATGATGTCATTCATACTTCCTTGACTCTCATCGCTGACCTATTGCCTCTGCCTCCGAACTTCCTCATGTCATGGGCACTGATACCAGAAGTTCACATGCCATGCTAAAATGCTGAAAATAAGTCTCTAGCTAATATTTTCCCTTGAAAAGGAACATTCTGAAATGTCAAGTCAAAACTATAATATTAAATACTTGGCTTCACTTCTTTTTTGTCTTGGTCAATAGGTACTATTACTCTCGGTTAGAGCTATTGCCAGTCTGCAGACTTCTCCTTATAGCCTGCATAGGCACTACATTTCATA